CCAACATATCATTCAGTTTTCGGAGTCTCTCACGTTTCGTCGTTCCCGTCGAGAGGGAGATAATTGGAGAAGCAACAGACGACATCAGAGAAATCACAATGATCAAAGCAATTGGCAGAGAACAAACGACGGTTGGAGAAACATGAACAACAACGAACCTAGTACCCCTCATGCTACCACTTCCCGCGACACACCCCGTGATGACCATCAGCGTCGGCGTCCTGGCGATCCAAACTGGACCTTCTACCAAGGTCCCCGCCAGCGAGGTGAAGATGATGCCTTCCGTTTTTATCCTCCCAGACCTCGCTCCTGTCGCCACGACTCCTCCAGACATTGTTCCGATCGCCATGACCCTTCTTCGACACCAAGTGACGACATCTTCCGCCACTTCAATACCTTTCCAAGAACGGATCGAATGCGCAGACGAAGGATGACACGTTGACGTCAACCAAGCATGCCACGAATCTACAGACCTACCGTTGGCGTCGGACTCCCAATGGCTCACGTTGCTGTACTATCTTCTCCCGCGGTCAAAGCCTTCTTCAAGAACGCCGATATTCCACAACGATTCAGCAAGGTCACCAACTGCTTCTGTGCTGCAATGAATCCAGATGAATTGAGATCAGATATGTCAGGTGATGAAAAGACGACAAGGTACCCGATAATCTGGGATTCCGGTGCAACAACTTCGATCTCACCTTACAAGGACGATTTTGTGGGAAAGCTTGAGCCAGCACCTCTTGGACTCAAGCTTCGCGGAATCGCTAGCGGCCTGAAAATCGAAGGGATTGGACATGTTGCACGGTCAGTGGTTGACACAACTGGCATGTTACGAACAATCAAGGTGCCTGCCCTATACGTACCCTCTGCCACAGCTCGATTGCTCAGTACTTCAAGTTTGCTCCAGACATACACCGATGAGTCCATCTCAATGAACGCTGATCATCTACAGTTGTCAGGATCAGACAAAACAAATCCAGTACATGTTGACCACGACCCTTCAACAAACTTGCCAACATCGCTTGCCTACTCCCATGGAACCACTCCTAACCGATTTGATGCATTCGCCAGCATCATCACGTCCACCTTGGAGTCAAACCACAACCTCAGTCCTGCAGAGAAAGAACACCTAAGATGGCACCATCGGCTCGGCCATCTCAACTTCAGTCAGATCCAATTTCTACTCCGCACAGGTGTATTGGCGTATTCAGAGTCCGCTCGACGATTGCAAGCTGCAGCATCTCGGATCACAACATACCCACTTTGCCCAGCTTGTCAATTTGGAAAACAACGTCGTCGACCGTCTCCTGGAAAGACTTCTCGAGTCGTTCGTGATTGAGAGGGAGCTTTGAAGAAAGAAAACCTGTTCCCAGGACAAAAGGTGTCAGTTGATCATTTTGAGTGTACCACAAGAGGACGACTGCTTCATACCTTTGGCAAAGAAGATCCCAAGACACAGTACACTGGAGGATGCATCTTCGTTGACCACGCAACAGGTTACGTCTTCGTCGAGCATCAAGTTCATCTGAACACCCAAGAGACGCTGAGTGCAAAGATATCTGTGGAAGAACAACTTCGAGATTACGAAGTAGTTGTACTCAAATATCTAAGTGACCCCTACTCCTACAAATCCGCCAAAGCCCTCATCTCCGCCGCAGCCAACGCCTCCACCGGCTCACAAACCGCAGCCCACACCAACTTCCAAACCTGCACCCCTGCCATCAGCCACACGCACATCTCGCCGATCCAACAAAGCTCAACCTCCAAAACGCTTTGGATACAATGGACGTGGACCCGCAGGATACAACGCACCTCTAAAATCGCAAAGTCCAGAAACCAACAACTTCTACACTTACTTTTCAGCATACTTCAACCATTCGAACATTGACCTGGAACACTCCCATGACTGCAGCTTCATTCCAAGCTCGTACAAAGCGAGAGCAACCAAGGACCCAGACGTTTTCACTTACAATGAAGCGGTCAACGGTCCCAACAGCGAAAAGTGGACTGCAGCAGCAAAGAAGGAAATTGAAGAACTTGAAGGAAAACTCACCTGGATTGAAGTCCCAATGTCGAAAGCGAAGACCAAGATCATTCCTGGAACTTGGGTCTTTCGTGTCAAGAGAAATCCAAGCGGAGAAATGACCAAATTCAAGGCAAGATACTGTGTGAGAGGAGACCTGGAAGAAATGGATGTTGACGAAAACACGTTTGCACCTACCGTTGCATGGAGTACTGTCCGTCTGTTTCTTGTCCTTTGCTTGATCCTTGGATGGGCCACCATCTCGGTTGACTTCAGCAATGCATTCGTACAATCCAAACTGGACAAACCAAAATGGGTACACTTACCTCGAGGATTCGTCTCTCCAAAGGGCAAAGATCATGCCTTTCTTGTACAAAAGACACGGATCAAAATCAGATTGTTTGAATCCACACTTGGTGAATCCTTCCACGGCGGTCTTATTCCATAGCGCGGGGGCAGCTTTGGTCCCATATAGTGACTTGTTGAGTTGAAGGCATGGTGGTTCTGTATGTTGATGACGCTGGAATCGGTGCCAAAGATCCAGCAGACATCGACAAGCTCATTGAGGAACTCAGAGAACTCAAATTTGAACTAAAGAAAGAAGGTGATTTCAATGAGTTTCTTGGTATAAAATTTGACAAACGGAAAGATGGTTCAGTCGAACTTACCCAGACTGGTTTGATTGACAAAGTTTTGGAAGCAGCCGGAATGACCGATTGCAATCCCAATCGAATCCCCGCTACTGGTCCCCTTGGCAAAGATCCTGATGGTGAACCTATGAACGAAGAATGGAACTATCGATCAAT